AGTGATGATAGCGTATTAAATAGTATACGACCAACACTGTTTACTACGCATTTTGTAACTACTCGTGATTGAGCATATTTGTTGTTTTGCTTTTGTGTTTTTGATATTTCAACATTTTTTTGCTTGCAGGTCTATGCGATGTAAGACTAATGGATGTACGATGTAAGGACGTATACTATTCGATTACGCTATCACCACTAATCAGATACTAGAAGGGTTTAATCTAAATCCGCGAGATGTAAACGTTATGTATTGTCGACTCCCAGTCAAGGGTATTGATCGAAGGGGCGTGGCAGCGATTGATCGCTCCCTGCCACAACGGCCAATGGCACATCACGGCCCGAGCGACGGATCGCTTGAGCGATCTCCAATTGGTGCAAAATCGCTCCATTCGCAAAGCCTGACATCGGCCATTCCTATAGAAAATCCTTCGTTTGAAAATCCTGCGATCCCAACAACCTACTCACAGTGCAGATCCGCTTATTAATTCTCAGTCCAAAGACAGAATCAGATGGTGAAATGGACCATACGTGATATCCGTTAAGCTCGAAAAACAGTTGTTTCCCGGTCCTAGTGAGCTAATTTTCCGCCAGATTAAAGAAAATGACATCTAAGTCGGCTGACTATGGAGTTTCCTTTTTTGTCAAAACAATTCGAAGCGCGTATACTTGCGCACGAGACAGTTCATTCCACCCAGGACCCACAAGGGAGGTTTATAGTATTGGATTTGGGAACATTTGCTGTGCTTGTGGAAGTGTTCATGGCCTTTCATCTATGTCCACGCTTTCATTACGGTTGTGGGTGTTGTGCTTTACATAGACTCCTTGAAGAGATCCTTCCGAGAAAATCACCCATTCTCACCCATAAACCACTGGCTTAAGACCAATCGTTCACAGTAAGAGAAAGAGACCGAGAAGTGGCGTTTGTTCTAGTTGACAGCTCGAAAAGTGGGCATTCGATGGATCTTGGTGGGCGAAACTTGGTATGTTGTCTCTAGTGGTCACAACTGACATACAGTAGCGGTCAAAAGTGTTCGCCGAAAGGTCTTCCCGTGCTTCTCCTTTTTTTTTAGCCAGAAAAGTCAATGGTGGCCTCAAAAACTTTTTCTTTCGGACAAGCTGATTCATAACATAACATTCACAACATAATAATGCACTAATAATCGTATTGGCGAACACTTTTGACCGCTACTGTATTCAAGTTGGGAAGAATTTTCTGGGGGTGATTCCTTTACCCAGGTAGTTTATGCCCCAAAACGTTGGGAAGTTGGAGCGACAATGGCCGTCGCCTTTCGCTAGCATTTAGGTGCCGAAATATAAGCTCGTTTGTCATCGAGCACCAAATTGGCAAAAGCGCTGCCAACCTAATCAAATCTTTTACGGCCAATATGGCTAGCTTTTAGAATCCACCTACACAGTTCATATCTCGCCGTTTGACTGAGCGTTCATCAAAATGAAGTGACGGCCGTCGCACTTGATAGAAGTCGCGTGGAGAAGCTGTTTCCGGCTTACTTTCCTGGAACTCCGCCATGGAAGTTGGAAACAGCTTATCCAGCGAGTTCTATCGAGTGCGGCTTCCGCCACGTCACTTTCGCTGACATTCTACCCAGACGGCGAGATGTGGACCATATACTCTGCGTCCGAAAACCAGATGCGCGTCGAGCGCAGACCATACACCACAAGTGACGACGGCTTCAATGCGAATATGGTTACTAGTAATTCACAGTGACAGCCGATAGTTGGTAAATGATAGATGTAATTAGTGAACCCAGATGTCATGGACTTTGGAATGGCGATTCGCTAGCGAATCGCTGGATCCGAGCGTTGCGCCAGCGAATCGAACGTTGCACCAGCGAATCGAACTTTGCACCAGCGAGTCGAACGATGCGCCAGCGAGTCGAACTAGGTACCAGCGACTCAATAGTGGCGGGACCCAACGTTTAAAGGAGCCCGCCAACTTTGATCAGTGTCCAGGCAAAGTCCCGCCACTTTCAAACAGCGTCCACTGTCACGGACACTGTTTGAAAGTGGCGGGCTTCCTTTAAAAGTTGGGTCCCGCCACTATTGAGTCGCTGGTACCTAGTTCGACTCGCTGGTGCATCGTTCGATTCGCTGGCGCACGCTCGATTTTTTGAGCCTTCAGTCGAAGTTTAAATGCCCTGTCTGAGTCGATTTTGCTGACTATCTCTAGCGATGTATCGTAGAACGTCGTAGAATTATTGGTATTTTTTTTATTTACGTGTATAGTCATAAAGAATTTCAATCCAATAGATATCTCAATTCATTTATAGGTTATATATTACTGGTCAATATTGATCTATTTTTATCCCAATTCAAACCGCTATTTAATAATTTCCAGAGAAATCATGAGATTCCAAGTTTTAAACGGAGACTAAACTACTCTTTGAGTCCCACCCCCTAAATAAATTTTGAATAAAACATATAAAAATATTGAGATCGAAAAATAAAAACAAAAACAGTTTAATTTCACAAATAGAAAGTTTAATCATATATAAAGCCATTAATTTTATTACACTAGGAATAGTTTTTGACAATACTGTGACATTTCAGAAGTTGCCAAAAATGAAATGTAAGAAATCGCGCACCCACGCAGAGTTTTAGAATTCGTTCGACGCTTTGCGTCTCACTTGAATTAAAAGCGAAGTTTTATTCCGTCAGCGAACTCTTTGGTGGGCTAGTAATCGGGTCGAATAGGACGTAGTATGGTGCTGGGCTATTGATGTGTATTCACAATTAATTGCAGGACATTAACGTGGTATAATGGAAGCTCAGTTTCAAGTTGGACGAATTCACGATGAAAAGCAACCCACTTCAAATTAACCTAGGGAGTGGTACACGAAAGAAGGAAGAACCATGAGAAACGGCCCAGAACCCGAGAAACGGTACCCCTTCCTTGCCCGTTGATTCGAGCATTGATGCGACTCAGTCTCTGGCTTGATGCCCTCTTCAAGCACCCACTCTCAGCTATCATACTACGCCACGTATTGAACGAGTGATCAGATGATCGGTGGGCGGAGATCGCCGAACCCGCCAGCTTTGAGGCATGATAGGTCGCCGAGGTCAAATTTTTCCATGCGAATTGCGCGTCAGTTCGCACCCTCAGGAGGTCCGTGGGTCCCTCAACTAGGTCAGTTTCCCTTTCTTCGACCTTCATTCTAATCGTGAATTCCTCCTTTAAAGTTCCAGTTCGGAATACTCAAGATTAAGTGATAAATTGCAGCAAAGTCAGACCAACATTGGTTGCGGCCACGCACACTACTTCTAGTCAAAATCATGGAGCTATCAAAGCATACGCGGATTTGTAGAGGATTCAGGATGATAACTATCTCATTCAATATGAAACTAATCAAGGTACAAGGACGTAGAGTATAGAGCTACGAACGTTCTTTAAGGTTCGATCTCTTGAAGTGAAGCATGACGTTTCTTAATTAATGTGTTTACTGCGCCGGGAATCCAATGGAACTTTGGGAAATACCAGAATTTTTTTTATACAAATCCCCTTACGCAAAACATGCCCTTCAGATACATCATTCTAAATCAAAATTGCTGGAGATTAGAGATACGATTGGTTTATATTCTAAATAAACTATAAGTTCCCTAAAATTATAACGGTTCTATAATCGTGAGCTTAAGTCTTTGAACGCCTTGAATGTTTATCTTTTCCTCCGCGATAGATGGTCGATTGCTGCAAAGCTATCTTAAAGGCATAGTTTACGATGAAAAGTTTGCTCTTTGGAAATAAGGGTAGAGGTGGTCAGTGGAGCAGGGATGAAGAAGAAACCATTTGAGACTGCCCGAAACCCAAGATTTGGAGGACCCCTTCCTTGCTTTGATTTGTACATTAATGGCGACTCTCATCGTTATGCCCTCGTCAATACTGCGCTCTTTCTGCTATGTAATCACTCGCCACCTGCGACGAGTAATTAGATGGTCGCTGGGTGTACCCTGCCAACCGCGCCAAGAGTGAGCCATGCTAAATCGCCGATTTCAAATCT